TTGTAAGAGTGGTGAGAGTGGACACTCTTGTCTCATTCCTGATTTTACAGGAAGTGCTTTTAGTTTTTCTCCAGTGTGATGTTAGTTTATTGCATGTAGCTTTTGTTATGTTGAGTAATCCTTCCATTCCCACTTTCTTGCAAGTGTTTATCATAAAGGGATATTGAATTTGTTAAAGGCTTTTTTTCTGCATCTGTTGAAATGATTATCTGGCTTTTGTCATTGATTTTATTTATGTGCTCTATTATGTTTATTGATTTAAATATATTGAACCATCTTTGCATTCATGAAATGAGACCAAATTTATCACTGTGTATATGTTTTTAACATGTAGAATTTCTTTGCATGTATTTTATTAGGTATGTCTGCATCTGTTCATTAAGCAAATTTTTTCTCTCTTCTCCTCTCCTCTGCCCTTCTCTCCTCTCTCCTCCCCTCTCCTCTCTTCTCTTCTTCTCTCCTCTCCTCCTCTCTCCTCTTCCCTCCCCTGCCCTCCCCTCCCCTTCCCTCCCCTCCTTTTCCTTCTCCCCTCCTCTCCTCGTCCTTGTCCTTGATACCAGTTTTGGTGTTGGGGTAATACTTACTTCAGAGAAAAACTGATATTAGTTTCTTTAAAGGCCTGATAGAATTTAGCAATGAATTTTTTAAGTCCTGGACTTTTCTATTTTAGGAGATTCTTTATTACCATTTTACTGTCATTGCTTCCTGCAGATTTATATGTAATATGTAATTTTATATATCTTGGCCCAATTTTGGTAGGTCTTATGTGTCTAGAAATTTATCCATTTTCTAGGTTTTCCAATTCATTGGAGAATAATTTTTTTTAAATATTCCTAATGATCCTCTGAATTTCAGTGGTATGTGTTGTGATTTCGACCTTTTTATCACTACTCTTTCTTATTTCGTTGTTCTCATTTTTTCTTTTGGTTATTTGGCTAAGTATTTGTTAATCTTGTTTTTGTCTTCAAAGAACCAAGTGCTGGTTTGATTTGTCCTTTGTATTACTCCCTCAGTTTCAATTTTATTAATCTTAGGTCTAATATTTAATATTTCTTTTCTTCTATGAAGTTTGGGTTTGGCTTGTTTAAGTTTTTGTGTTTTTCTAATGCCTTGAGTTACATCATTAGGTTATTTATTTGAAAACTCCCTAATTTTTTAAAATATAAGCACTCAAATGTATAAATTTCCCTCTTAGAATTGCATTTGACTTTTCTGTAGCCCATAGATTCTGGTAAGTATGTTTTCATTTTCATTTGATATTAAGAAGTTTTTTATTTCCCTCCTGATTTGTTCAATTCTTGATTTACTGTAAATTTTTCTCTCTGGTTTCTAGTTTTAATCCATTATCATCTGATAAAATACAGGAATTATGTTTGTTTTTTTATATTTGTGTAGCTTTATAGCTTAATATGTGATCTAGTTTGGAGAATGTAGGGCTCTTGAGAGGAATGTGTAGTCTTATAGTTGGTGGATTGATTATTCTTTATATGTCTGTCACATTAATTTGATCTATGGTACAGTTCACCTCTGGAGTTTCTTTGTTAATTTTCTGTCTGGATGATTTATCTGTTCATGAGAGTGGGGTATTAAAATTTTCTACTATTATTGCAGGTGGAACCTATCTATCTCTTCATGTCCATTAGTGCTTATTTTATGAAATTGGGTGCACCAACATCCATTCATATATATTTACAATCACTGTATCTTCTTGATGGACTATTCCCTTGAGTAGTATGTACTTTCTTTCTTTTCTCTCTTCTGACTAATTTCGGCCTAGCATCTATTTTATCACATAGGAGTATAGCTACTCCTGTTGGCTTCTGGATTCCATTTGCTTGGCATATTATTTGACTTTCAGTCTGGGTGTTTCTTGTCAGTGAGTTGCCTTTCTTGCAGCCATAAAGAGTTGGATTTTGTTTTTTAATCACATCACCTAGTCTACATCTTTTAATTGGTGATTTAAAAGTTTACATTTAGGGTTGTCATTGAAAGATATGTGCTAATTCCTCTAATTTTGCTGTGTGTTCCCACAGTTTAGTCAAGTTCTCTTTCTTCTTTTTTTTCTCCCTTACTCATTTAGGAGTGTGGCAGTTTACTAAATTGAACATGTTTGATTGCTCTTATTCATCTATTGTAATGAAATTCATTCTTTCTCAATCTCTTTGTTTGTTACTGTCTTTCTTCTTCATCTTGCATTATATTGCTTTAAGTGTGTTTACATTTCTGGCTTAGTGGTCACATATTGCTTTAGTTTGTGCTTATCTTGGAAGGTATTTATTTCTCCATCACTTTTAAAGGAAACTTTTGCTAGATATAGTTACTAGTTTGGCAGTTATTTACTCTCAGTGCTTGACACTTCTCTCTTACAGCTTTCAATATTCTTTCTTTGTTCTGTAGTCTTGCATTGCTGTCAACTGGAGAGGTTCTTTTTTTGGTCATATCTATTTGGGATTATGAATGTGTCCTGTAATGGTATGTCTATATCTTTCCCTAGATTTGGGAATTTTTCTGCATAATTTCATTGACTAGATTTTTTTAATTGCTGTCTCATCCCCTTCTTCTACCTCATGGGCTAATCTTTGATCATGTTCCAGAGTTTTTGACAGTTGTAGTTATGATTGATTATTATTGTTTTATTTATTGCTATCTGAATTAATTCCTCATCCTTGCATTTAATCCCTAATATGCTTTCCTCTTCATGACCTAGAATATTGGTGATGCTTTTTACTGTTTTAAATTTTTATTTATTGAGCTTTTTATTTTCAAGATTTCCCTCCAGTTTTTTTAAAGCTCTTCATCTTTTCTAACTCCCCATCCATCTTAGTGAATTCTCATCCAAGTCTTGAATTGACATCTTTATTCCATTTATGTGTTTATTTCAATCCTCTTTGAGGTTATTGATCATTTTTAAAACTAGACTTTTGGGGATGGTTGAGTGGCTCAAATGTTAGAGCATCTGCCTAGCAAGCATAAAGCCCTGACTTCAAAACCTCGTACCACCAAACAACAATAACAATAACAATAACAATAATAATAATAATAAAACTATACTTTTGAATTGTTTTCTAGTGTATCAGTTATTTTCAGTAATTTAGAATAGTTTTTTTTGCTGTGTTATGGAATGTAGAGGAATCATACTTCCTTTCTTTGTCATGTGTTTGGTGCTATTATGTTTTGGCTTGTACAGGTGTTGGGATGTGTTCCTCCTTCACTTTTATTTGTGAGTCTTCTTAGTGCTTAGTATTCTTTTGAGGCCTCTATTTGAGAAGAGAAAGCAGACTACAGTAATAACAACTAAAAGACAAACTAGATATTTAAGTGTAGTAAAAGTCAATTGGAAACACCACGAACATGCCCAATAAAGACAGAAAATAAAGGAGCTCAGATACTTATATGATTAAGTAGGAATATATAAAAAAGTATTAGTGATTATATAATACAAAGGAGGGGATTATGAAAGAAAAAAAGAAGCAAGATGGGAGAGGATAAATAAAGAAAATGAATAAAAGCAAAAAAGTAAAAACACCAAAGAATGTACAAAACACATTTTTGGTACTATTAGGTTAATTTAGCAAGATCATGGTACAAGAAGACCATATAAAAATTAATTATATTTCTCTATTTTAAGAATGAACACATGAAAACCAATATTTAAAAATATATTCAGTAAAAAATGAATTATTTGTATAAATTTGACAAATGTTGTACAAGACCTGCGTGTAACACCCTAAAATGTTATTTAAAGAAATTACAGATGTAAATGAATATAGAAAGGCATGTAATACTCATGGATTGGAAGATTCAAAACAGATAACATATTGAATCTCTCACAAACTGATAAATTAGTTCAATACAACTCTTAAAAATCTCAACATTTTTATAGATGTAAATAATTCTAAAACTTATATAAAAGGCAAAGAAACAATAACTTAAAAATGTTTGAATAACAAAAAAAAGAAGAGCTGTTAGGAATCATCCTACTATTTCATTATATATGTGAGTATAAATATATATATATATATATGTATGTATGTATACACACACACACACACATATCTATATACACATACAGTATTTCTATAGTTACTCCTAGGGAAAGAAAAATAACTTTTGATACATTTGCTATAGTGCCACATCAAATGTTAGTTATACCATTTTTCTTTAATTAATTCACATTTTAAATATAGTACTGTAAGGCTTTACATATTTTTCTCTTTAACTTATTTTTTAACATTCATTCCATCATTTCAATACTTACAATGATTTGTGCTAGTATCAGTTTCATATTTCTGTATCTTCAATATGTGGCGATTAGACATAGCTTATTTTTGTGGTAATCTCTTTTTTTTTTTCATTTTTCTTTTATTATTCATATGTGCATACAAGGCTTGGTTCATTTCTCCCCCCTGCCCCCACCCCCTCCCTTACCACCCGCTACGCCCCCTCCCGCTCCCCCCCCTCAATACCCAGCAGAAACTATTTTGCCCTTATCTCTAATTTTGTTGTAGAGAGAGTATAAGCAATAATAGGAAGGGACAAGGGGTTTTGCTGGTTGAGATAAGGATAGCTATACAGGGCATTGACTCTTTTTCTGGATGTCTAGTAATACCAAAGAAGAAAATTAACCTCATCTTAAAATTGATACTTAGTGAACTCTGTATTTTCTACTGATTATCACTTTTAAAGGACAACCCTGTTTTTAAGGTATTTTCTCTGAATTACACCCAGTAATCATATACCATAGTTTGCTCTGTTCTTCTGGATTTGAAATCACTCTTTTCCATGTTTGTGGAAAATGTATTCCTGTTTGTTAGTTTTAGTTATTTCATTTATTGCTCTTAAATTTTGGGTCAAAATGAGTTTTTCACCACATGACTTGAAATTTTTATACTAGCTATGTGTTTTTGCTAGTTGAATTTTTTATTCTTTTGTTTTATTGCTGTATTTAACCATCTGAATTGTCACTAATTACTGTCTTTTTTTTTTCTGTTTGCTTTCAGCTGGTTGGTGGAGCATTTGATTTGGAGACAAACTTTATTATCCAGGATGCTGAGAGTATAACATGCATAACAGAGTTTTTTGGGGCACTGTGGTGTAACATGCCAAGCAGAAATATGGAGCAAGTTTGCAGCCATTGTATGAATAAGTGCTTGGAATTTACAGACTAGCACAGAATTTGGGTTGACTGAACAAGTATTGCTGAAAATGCATGCTGTAGAAGACATGGTAGCAGGTATGCGACTATCTGGTAGGAAAGTATCATTATATTTATAAAGTTTCTTGTACTTTGTTTTATATTTTTACATAATATAGATTTATTGAGACTGCCTTGAGTTAAAATAGATAAGTAGAAATGCATGGAAAATTGGTCCTTTATATTAGTGGAAAAACTGCAGAATGAAAGAGGAGGAACAGAATTACTGTATTAACCAAACATAATACTCTTCTGATTTTCTAGGTTTTAGAAAATTCAGTACTGTGGAGTGGGTACTATGAAATCCATCAGAGAAATAAACAGTAACTTTTATGTAGTACATAGTTAAATGTTTACATGCTTAAAATGTCACAACACATGTTTCAGTTCTGTGTAATAGTGAGCCTTTTACCAAATTATCCCAGCTTTCTGGTACTCAGTCTCCCATACGTGATACTATGACAGATGACAGGAGGATCTAAAAGCAGGCTATGTTTTTTGAAAGTGTCTATTTTACTCTGCTATGTTTTTGGAAACTTCTGTATTAAAATGAGCATATATTGTGGAATAGAACATAAAATTTACACATTCTAGACAAAAATATTAATTTTTCCTTATGGCTTATTTCAAACAATAACTTTGAACTCGTCACCAACTTCCCGTTACCTCCCAATAAGTTTTGCATTCCAGTAGAAGTTTTTTGACTGTTGGTCCCAGAGCAGTAGTTATTTCCAGAAAATAAGTTTATTATCTTTAGGATATTGTATGTGATTCTTAAAAAAAAAAAGTCAGATTAGCATATTTGGAAGTATGAGACATTTAATTCCAGAAGATTCTTAGACTAAAGATCCATGGTTTACAAAAATCAATCTTTCATACTCTAAACTTTTTTCTGATAAACCACAGATTTTTTTCCTTTCTTAATCGCATATAGCCTTACAGAGAATGCTTTCTTATTCTCTATGTTGGATAGTAATGGTAACTTTTTCAAGAAAAAGATGCCGACTTAGATTTCTAAAATGTCTTTTTAACGAATATGGTACTAGTACTGCTTCTGTAAATTCTAGAGTTACTTACCAGGAATTTGTGTGCATAAAAGTGTATGTAAACATGTGTATAGAACACCATATGAGCTTTCAGTCCTTATAGCTGGTCCTAATGTCTTTAAGTTTTATTTTTCCCCACTAAATAAAATAGTTGCCACTTGATTAGAGAAGGGTTCAGAACTACATAAATTGTCATTAGCTAGAATGGAATTCATGAGCATTGGGATGCAAAGACAGTGATGAGGATAGTTCTACAGTAGTTCACATTTTGACATTTTCTGTTAAATAAAGCCCCTTAATTCTCTTACGATTTCTTTTCAGTAATGGTATTGATAACAAACATTTCACTTTTTATTATGTTAAGCATTTCATTCACAAAGAACCTGATAGTGAGAGGATAGGATAAAAGGGAATTAGAATCAAAAAAAAATCTGTACCTTACTTACTTTAAGGAGATAATTAAAAATTTGTATATCATACTGAGGAAATTTTAATAGATATCAAAACAATACTAGGTTTTCATCTCTGAATGTATTGTAGTTTGTTAAGTTCAAAGAGGTTCTTTTTGGTTAATAATGTAAACTTATCACTAAAAGGTGATTACACACTTATAGTTATTTGATAATAGAATTTCATCTTGTGGTATAAAAAATGGTGCAACTAAAATCTTGTCCAGATAAGATTTGCTGTACTAAAATTAAATTGAACTCTCTGGTTATGTCTTTGTGAACAATAAATGTGTAACAAATTAAAGATTACATCTACATATGAATTTAATAGATCACTTTTTTGAGTCATACATCCTGTATGTTGCAAATATAAACTTGTTTTTCTAAAGTTTTTGCATGTAAACATTCAAAGAATCTTTGATGATGGCTGCCATTTCAACCAGTTCCTAAAAAATGGAACATTTTGGCCTAGTGTTTTTAAGGTTCTGGATTTTTGTCCAGAATTCTTTCTTAGAAACTGATATTTTGATTTGTACATACTAACATTTTCATACAATTTGGTCCTGAAATGATGATAGAGGAGATATTTTACATATTACTGGTGAACTTGTACAATGACATTTTTTTCATTTATTGCTTCCTCAGCCAAGACAAGCAGAGAAATTATTGTCAGTTCTTGATCAGATGCTGTGAAGACTTGGTCCTGATACTTTTTTCAATTTCTCTGGTCATTGCACTGTAATAAGTTTTAATTACGAGTGTTTAATTTTTATATATTTTTAAGTCATGTAGCTCCTATCCCTTGCCACCTCTGATTTATTTTGTGTTTCTGAAGTTTTGCCTTTTCTAGATAATCATATAAATAAAATCATGAAATATACAGGGTTGTTTCTTTGACACAAGGTCTCACTATGTAGCCTAGCCTGGCCATCTTTTTGCCTCCTCAGTGCTAGGAATACTGATGTGTACTATCACATCAAGCTTCGTCTTTTATGTTTGGCTTCCTTTACTTTCAATAATACTTTTGAGGTCCACATTATAGCTTTTATCTGTACTTTTTTTCTGTACCTCTTTTTTCTGAATAATATGTAATATAATATATATATTATATTATATCTATATTGATATATCAATATAGATACATCACATTTTAATCATTCATCCTCTAGTTGGAAAACATTCAGATTTCTAGTTTCAAGCTATTGTAAATAAAACTGCAATGAATATATAATGCAGTCTTCCTGTAGGCATATGTTTTGTTACCTTTTGATAAATACCTAGGTTTTATGGTAAGTATATGTTTAGCCTCGTGAGAAACTGTCAGATCATTCTCCAGAGTATAATTTTACCTTTCTGACAGCAGTGTGAGTCTCTCAGTTGATTTGTATCCTAGCCATTATTAATTTGAGGCATTTTAATGGTTATGCAATGGTATAAAACTTTAGTTTTATATTTGTATTTTCTATTGACTTTTGTATTAATTTTTCATATGATGTGAGGCAAAGTTGGAATTACATTTTATTTGTTTGCATATCCATTCATTGCATCATTTGGTGAAGAGACAATCCCTTTCATTTGGGATTACTTGACAGCTTTCTTGAAAATTAATTGTCCATAGTTTGGTGGATCTATCTCTGAATTCTCTAGTTTGTACCCTTGGCCCTACATTTCAGTACTTATGTTAATGTCAAATTTTCTTTATTATCATGGCTGTGTAGTTAGTACTTCTTAAAGTCAGGTGGTATAAATCCTTCACCTTTGTTTTTCATATTTAAAATAGTTTTGGCTTTTCTAGAATATTTGCATTTGTGTATACATTTTTGAATAAATTACTGGGGTGCTGTGGCTCACCCCAGTAATCTTAGCTACTTGAGAGGCAGTAAGTATGAAGATCACAATTCAAGACCTGACCAGGAGAAAAGATTGCTAAACCACATTTCAACCAATAAATACTGCCATGGTGGCATGTGTCTGTCGTTCTAGGTATGCATTCCTGTCCAAACCAGAAGAAATATGGTCCAGGCTCTCCCAGGTGTAAACTTGAGACCCTATCTCAAAAATAACCAAAGGAAAATCACTGGGGTGAGGCTTAAGCAGTAGAGTGCCTTTTTAGCAAGTGCAAGGCTCTTGAGTCCAAACCCTAGCACCATCAGTTAGAAAAATAATACTGTTGTTGTTTTGATTGTTATTGTATTAAGTGACCAGACCATTTTGTAGAGAACAGACCATCGTAATGTTATTGAATGCTATCTTTCCCTTTATTTAGTTTTCTATATTTGCTTAGTTTTCAACATAAAACTTGAAGGGTAGACTATCTCATTTGTTTTCTCTATTTCTTTGTTTAATGTACTATTTTATGTGTAATTTTGGCCTACCCTCATACAATGTAACTGATAATGCACTTTCAAGGCAAGTGGATGTTTTTGATGAATTAAATGGGAATTTAGATCCATGGGGGAAAGGGAAATCTTTTGAACAGCCCAGTGATAGTGCTGTAACCAGTCACTTTTGTGACACAAAAGGGCCATTGGTTATGCTGTTCCTGGCAACAAGATTGAAATCCACAAAATTTTTTTTTTGGTTGGCTAGGGGAACAACAGTACTGAGATTTAAACTTATGCATACTAGGCAGGTAGCTTGCTACCAGAGCCTACCAGAGCGACATCTTCATCCATCTTTGCTCTGATTATTTTGGAGATGGGGTTTTGCTTCTTGCCAGGCCAATTTGGAACACAATCCTATTTCATGCTTCTCCATGTAGCTGGGATGACAGGTGTACCACATCGAGTTTTTTTCTGTTGAGATGGGATATCATACACCTTTTTTGCTCAGGCTGACCTGGAACCACAATCCCCCCAATGTCAGACTCCAAAGTAGTTAGGATTACAGTATCTCGCATGTGAAGAAGTTAGCATGTATGTTAGGTGATGTATATGATTCCATACACTCATTTTATTACTCCATGTTCCCAGTGTGTCTCCTGTTCATCTTAATGCTCAGGTGTAGCTAAAATCAAGTACATTCTGCTTTAGACAAACTATGGAGGTGTTAACTATTGGGAAACTTGGCAACTCCCCCCAATCTGACTAGTTAACAAAATAATAAAATATTTTTCCTTTGTAAAAAGTCAAGAAAGGCTGTATTCTTGGCAATAAAGCTGCCTGAATCACTGAAACATTAATATCTGAAAGGATACTGTATGGACAATATTCATTTGTAGAATTTGCTTATTTGAAATACCATATATCTGTATATTTTTAAAAATAGCAAATACTTATAAGTCTTTGGCCACTTTGAGAATATTTATTGACCAGATTTCTTTTCTGTACTTTTAAATTATGAGGCTGATCATATAGATCATACTCATTTCTTTTGAAAAACTGTAATGGATAGATAAAAAAAATTCCCCCTGCTGTAATAAGGAGGTATAAGTGATATTATAGATATAGGTACTAAGACTTACGGGAAAATAATGAAAAAGAAACCACACTAGGTTGATGTTCAGGAAAACTTGACAGATGAGGGCATTTTAGCTTGGTATTGAAGAATGATTGGGATTTTCCTGGAAGGCAGGGTGTTTTGAGCAGAAGCAACATTATGTCCTAAAAGGGGAGCTGAAAACATCAAGTGGAACAGGTGGTATATTTCACTGGTTTTTGGAGTATGGGATAAGATAGTAGAAGAGATTAAAACTGAAATTGTTTCTTGGAGTTGTAGTGTGTATAAAGCAGCTTGTAGAATCTGAAGAAATTTCGACTTTATACTGTATGCAGAGGATTTGGGGATTTGGGACAGTATTGGGATTTGAACTTAGGGTTTTTGGTTCCTAGGTATGTCCTCTACACTTGAGCTACACCTCAGCCCTGGAGAGAATTTTTATTATGTAACCTACTTGTTATATTTTAGAAAGGTCATTACTAATGACATTAAGTATGTATTTGGAGAAAAGGCCATTTATCAAATCATACTGGGATCTTTTATTGAAAGAATTTAAATATTTTCTAGGAAAATAAATCAAGCAAGTCAAGTAATCAGTCATTTTTCTCACTCCTTAGAATGGCTAGATTTCATTTTACTATTATTATAAGTCCTATATTATTGCTTTTCTTCCTGTAAATGGATCTCAATACTTTTTTAGCCATAGATTTCAATGGTAAAGTTTCTGAAGAACAAATCCCATCCTTTCCCCTCCTTGTTTCAGTGTCGTAAGCATTACAAATATTGTGAATAACACTTGTATTCCAATACTGATTCCATTAATATTCTCTCACATGATTGTTTTGGGCTGCAAAGATTCATCCTCATTAATAAAATTTAATATTTCTGAAAACAAGCATAAAGCATTGAAAATTGAAAATTCTGAGGCATATGTATGAGGGACTTTGTGTTGTTGAAGTTAGAGGAGAAGGATGTTTTTTTTTTCTTTTCTGTGTGCCCATAGAGGGGAAGTTTGAAAGAACAGTCTACAACCCACTGTAATGTAGAAGTGAAATTTAACTTCCTGTTTGAAAATGTAGTAATAGTATAGTCAACAAACTGTATCTAATGGACTATGTAAATAAGATAATTTTTTCTGTTTTCTATAGTTGTTTATAATTATCTGATTTAATCTGTGAAAACCAGGTTTTTCCTTAGTGCCTTCATATTTTCTTTAGCTGAGACCTTACCTTTTCTCATTGCCTTGTAGACAATTGCATTGCCTCCTATTGTAAAGTGGCCTTATAGAATGGCTTCACCCTGCACACTTGGTTTCGCATGGATCCATTAAATAACATTAATGTTGATGAGGATAAACTTTATCTTTATTGGTGAGTAATATGATTTATTCTCAGACTTTTTCCTTTACATAACTAAATCTTGTACTTATAAGATAATAAGTCTATAGAATATGTATATGTTAAAACTGTAAACATTCAGATAAATAAATATTACTCATTTTCCTATTATGTGTAGGTGACTTTTCTTAACTTATTTTTTCCTACATACTGTTTAAGACTCAAGAGTTTCAGACCTTCCTGTCCATCAGTTGTGGGGGTGCTTTATGTTGCTGGTGCCTCATCCAGGAAGGAAAAAAAATAGATTCCCACTAGATTTCATTCTCATTGTCTCTTTGCTTATTTTGTTTTATGAACATAATTGATATATGATTTAAAATTAATAACCACATATTATAAAATATGTCACTTTTCTTCTTTTGATTAAAATATACTCCTTGTTAATTAGCTGTTTTATTTATCAAAATTGGCTTTTTTAAATTTGTAAGCTGTTTTGTAAGGTACTTCATAATTAGAGAGCAAATTGTTTTGTTTGCTAATTGAAGATGGTCCTTAAAGGTAGATGATGTCAATTTGGTAGACTTTGTTGACAATTAGTTTTTATTATTGTGATATTTCAAATTGAAATATTAAGAGCTTCAATAGTCCTTTATTTCCTAGATTTAATTCCATGTGTTTTAGTTACGATAGTTCTGTTATGTTTTGGTTTTTATTTGATCCATGTTAAACTTCTGCTCTACGGGGAATTAAGTTTTATTTTTATATAAAACAATATTTAATGAACATTATATGTCTCTTTTTATCTGGTTACTATATCAATCTCATATTTATTACAGTTTTCATATTAGCAAAGGCGTTGACTATTTTGCACGTTTTGTTGGCTCAATAGTTACATCATTGTTAGTATGCACACATAGTCTCCAAACTTATTCTTACTTTCTTTAATCAAAGTATCTTGTCAAAACTTGCTCTCTTAAAACATTGAAAAACTCACTTTTGCCTCTTCTCTGTAGTGTACATTTTGATGTTCCAAGATAAGAGAACAGAAAAATAAAATCTCATATAAATGGCCTTCACTGAGATTAATTCCTTCATTAATCTGTGTATTGATTTATTCGCTCCTTTTATCTTATATATAGTTATAACCTAAATGAATATTTTGTGTTTGTTGTGTAATTACATACCTGATCATTTTTTATTAAGTATCATAACTTAGTGGGAACAGCTCATTTAAGTGAAAAATTGCAAACCATTGTAGACTCCCCTTTTTTATATGAAGGTTTCCAATCAGTTCCAATAAGTTCTCCCTTCCTTCCCTCAACTAACCAATGCCATTGTGCTGGCTCCTATGACTTCATTCTTACCTGAATCTTTGCAGTAGTTTTCATGTTTTTCCTTATCCATACTTGCCTATATCTTACTTCAATATTGCCACTAATTATTTTTCTAAAGTATGAGGATGATCATTTAACTTTGCTGCCCAAAATTCTTTAGTGATACCACATTATCAAAAAACACAGGTCACATTCCTAAATGTGTGTGTCCTATAATCCTGTTTCCAATTGGATCCTTACCTTTGTTTCCTGCTACATCTAAATACTGGGAAGAATTTGATCAAGTCTTTGCTGAACCTTAAGATTCCTCTATCTGGAATGTTTCTTTCACCTTTATTCACTCAACAATTCCCTTTCATCCTGCAAGCTTAATATCAAGTTTCCTTTTGCTCAAAGTGAATTGTTCTGTGATAGTCTTCCTATGCTATTTGACTTTCCCTGTTACCATATTTTAGTCAGTACATCTTCTGCTTCCATGTTGTATCCAAAGATAGTCTCCATTGCTTCTGTGTTTGTTTCTCCACTGAAACTCTCTTGAGGATATACATGTTGTGTTTCTTCTTGTGCCCACGCATGTAGCATATATGTGGGAGGAGAGTGAGGTTAGTGACTTGGCATAAAATAAGCTGTCAGTAAATATTTTGAATGAATTAATGAATGACAGGTACACATCACTTTTAGCAGAGACAAACCTCATCATGAGGACATAGTAGATAAAAAGTAATTAGAAATTAAGTGGTGACTTATTTATAGGTGTTTAATATGCTTCCAATTTGTTCTCCATAGTTTTATAAAGTAGGTGTTATTCCCCCATTTGTAGAGATGGTAATAGATTTAAAGATGTTAAATAATTTTCCAAAAGTCATAGAAGTAGTTAACGTGGGATTCCAATTGTCTGTGTGAATTTAAAATCCATCATACCTAGTACAATAACCTTTCTGTAGTAGTAAGAACTCAGTAAATAAATTTAAATTAGTACTTTTCTGTATTAGTTACATCAATTAATATAAGAACATGTCTAATAGTTTATCATAATACTGCCTTTGCGAAGGAAAATTTTTGCCTATACATAGGTATTTTTTGTGTATTCTATTTAGAAATTGCAACATTTTACTCTAAAATATAAAGATTATGTGTTCTGTATTAGCTTGATAACATTCTGGTTGAATTTTTTTAAAGTCAGGTAAGATGATACAATGTTGATACTTACATATGTAGAAGTCTATAAGAATGTTCTTAATTTATTTGAAGCTAAGTTGTTATGGGTTTTTCCTGATAACTCATATTTAGAAAAAACAGTTGTTAAGTTACTGTTGTAGATATTTTCCTCTTCTGATTTTCTTCACAACCAACATTTCTTTCATTTTCTGAACAATAAGTGAAAGAATGAGACAACTTTCAAAAGGACATGTGTTTTAGACATTTCAATACTTAAATCTGACTTTTTGATAATTGAAGAGCACTGTTGTTTTCTATTGCTGTCTTCTATTGAGTTGTTCAGCACATTATTTTTATTTTCTAAATAAAACTGAATGAAATCAAGTTTTAAAAAAATATTTCAGATAACTTGAAATAACTAATATTTTAGAATTGGAGACTATTGCAGCTCAATATTTCTCAAATATATAAAATAATTGGGATAGTATATTTAAATAATCTATAGAAGAAAGTTTATGTTTCATTTTAATATCTGGGCAGGGATAACTGGGTAGTTAACCTCCTTAACTCTTGAAGGCATAAGTATTCAAATATCTGCAAGTTATCTTTATTTTTGATACTTTGGAAAACATAATTCTAAATAGCCTTATGCTGTTATCTCTGTAGACTAAGGGGTGGGTCCACAAATTGTTACAAAACTTAAACTATCTCAAATCAAAATCAACAAATTATTTTTGTTGACACTAGGAACTATAAAACAGGAACCGAAGGTGAACACATTCATTGAATCTTGATGAATATTCACATAAACTTAAAATATTTAATATTAGTGCATTTAATAAATCTAAGTTGTGGAATTGGAACTCCTAAAATCTAAAATATTATTCTTTTGACAGGTCTTTCCTGACCATGCAATCTAAGGTAAAATCCTTGGTTATTTTTTTCTCAGTTTATGCTGATCTTTTTTTCTTATTGTAATCATATTGAGTTTTAATTCTGAATTTATATCATGTATTCCATTGTCAGCCTTGAGCATCTGAATTGCCTGACAAAATGTAAATGTTACTAAATGAACACAGATACAGTTTTATTTTCATGATAAATCATGGTATGGTGGGAGAGTAATATCGATCTGGGGTGCAAAGGGATCTAGCTCTATGTCTGACAGAGATCTGTTCTGTATGAACTGCTTTATAAATCTGTAACATGAAAAATGGGAGGAGGGAACCTGACAAAATTGTAGTCAATGATCACTAATAGTCTTTCCAGCATTTTCTTAGAGGGTGCTGTAAAGATTATGGTTGCCTCTTAGGCCATAATAACTAAGTATTACATATTGATACTTTAATATTTTTTATCTAAGTGACACATGATCACTATGGTCCTCAATTACAATCAATGGAGGAGCAGTGGAATTTGGTGTTATGCTAATGAGCAGCTGGTATCCTATAGTGATATGGCTTGGAATGTTAACACAAATGGTTTAAGTTTAAAATAATTTTTAAATCTGTGTTCTAATGAATTTGAAATTATGGTCTATCCCTATAAACTGAATTGAATAATGAAATAGTCTGATGGACCATGTGAGTTTTACTTTGACAGTTTATTGTCTTTGATGAGTCAATCTTTTTAAGTTTCAAATTTTATATAATAAAATGACCTCAAAGATGGTTAATGATATTTTAAAACGATAATAGTGCTGAGATGAGATTAGCAGGTACTGAGGTCAAATTTTGTAGGACCTCATAAGTCAACATGAGGCTTGTGGTTTCCCATCTTACCCAGTGTAAAAGTACTTGGAAGGTTTTGAGCAGACTGATGATGACTGCTTGTATTTTTAAAATGTCAGCCTGGTGCAATATTTAGAATACTTTGAAGGAAAGGAAGGAGATGACTTCAGTGACATGGCAATAACGAAGGGATATTCTTTTCAAAAGTATGTTAGTGCTGAAGAAGGTACTAGTTGGATTCTGGTTAGAAGAGATCTAGAGGTGAAGACCTTCAAAATGCTGCTGTTTCTCTAGTTTTGGCTCTTCTTTGATTCATCCTGTCTGTAGAACCAAAGTGTAAAAGATGTGTTTTAATGCCAAAAACATCTCCAAAGCCAATGGTACATAACCCTTCCAGCATTCCTAATTTTAAATGTCTTGTGTGATTTAAATCTCTCTCTCTCTCTCTGTCTCTCTCCAGGTGTAGATCTACCTATCTATATATCCATCCATTCATCCATCCATCCATCTGTCTATCGATGTATCTGTCTATCCATATATCTAACTATCTATCATCTGTCTAATCTATCATCATCTGTCATCTTTCTATTAGAAACTGGCATGCTTATTACAGTATCCTGTCATGGTGCAGCAAACTGGGCACTGACTGCTTTTGTTAGTTTGTGTGGGTGGGGTTTAAAAGGTATAGGAAGGGTCTTCCAAAGCATAGCTTCTTAGATGCTTAATCCTCCAGTGGAGAGCATCGTGTGGTTGGCTTCAGGCACCAGATTTAAGTGATCATTGTTTATTTGATAATGCCTACTTACATAAGAGGAGGAACTTACTCCTTTAAAATCCTTGATTTAGCGTAGAAAAATACAGGAATGTATGCAAGATGGTAAACCAAAGTTGAATTTAAAAATTGGGCATTATCAGTTGACAGTTAAACTTTAGACTTGTCATTGGTTGATTTGCATGATTCTTTCTCTAAATATGAGCAATTATGAATTATTGGTGTTTTAAAATTAGTTTTGCTTTTGTAAATAATTTTAAACCCTTTCACTTTAATGGTAAAATTTGGAAAGTGATCAAGTCTGAAGATAGACTTGGAGGTTATTTGCTTGCTAACGCTACATGTAAGTGATTAAGTTGATTTTATTTTCTCAAAAATATTTTATTGGTTTTTATTATTTAAGCATTCCATGGAATCTTAATCAATTGCTTTCTTCTATTATTGTGCTGTTTAAACTATGTATAATAGTAATAAATGGTATATATAATAATAAAACAGGTATTCTTAAATAGTCTGTCATTGTAAAATGATATATTACAAGAAAGTAATTTATTTTTGTGAATTTAAAAAAATAGATCCTTGACAAGTGCAAATGGGGTATTTTGTGGACAGCTTGGTGCCATGTATGTTTTCAGGGAAGCCCTCAACCCAGCACGGATAGTTGCAACTTATCAATTAGGACCTGGATGTAAGGTGAGAGTGACTATTTGCTATAAATTCCTTGTAAACTTTGAATTGTTATTGTGATGTAACATGGTATTCAGTGAAAAGTCTTCAGTGTGGTTTGAAAGTGTTTTCTGTTTTTGAAACTCAGTTATTGTGATGTTCCTGTTTTGTTTAAAAGGTGTTTTTCTCTTTTTAGCTGTTTTTTTCCTTCATGAATTGTTTTACTCCTCACTGTTTTCTAATGTTGAAGACCTTCCTTTTATGTCTCCATTCTCAGAAAATAAATGCAAGCTCCTAAACCCAGAACTGGGGAGGAGATGTAGGAGCATCATGAGTTCAAGGTTAGCCTGAGCTACATTGTGAGTTCAAGGCCAGCCTGAGCTACATACAGTAACCCTGTCTCAAAAACAAACAAAGAAACTACATGGCTAAATCTCTACATTATATTATAAAAGTATAACTTGTCAAATTAGAGGTGGCTTGCCAAAAATCGTGGAAAACTTAGAAATAAAATAGTATAAAATGCTATGTATAACTGAAATTCTTTATGTTTAGCAACTGGTTTTATCTTTTGCAGAAAGTTAGGAAAGTATCCTCATTTCACAAAACCCATTAGTGTCAGGCTTCTGCATGTTACATAGCTAGTTTTCCCAGCATCACTTGTTGGAGAGGCTGTTTTGTCCATTGTATGTTTTGGGCTCCTTTGTCAAAGATCACAAGCCACTAGTTTTTGGGTTGTATTTCTGGGTCTTCTGTTCTCTTTCATTGGTCTTTGTGTCTGTTTTTGTGCCACTACCATGCTGTTTGTTTTGCTTTTGTTTATTTTCTGTGGCTCTGTAGTTTAAATTGAAGTCTGGTATTCTGATACCTCCATTGTTAACCTTTCTGCTTGTGATCACTTTTGTTCTTTGGGATCTTTTAGGGATCCACATGAATTTTTGCATTGATATTTCTATATCTACAAAGAATGACTTGGGATGTTGATGGGCATTTAATTGAATGTGAATATTTCTTTCAGTAATATAGCCATTGTTCTGGTATTAATTCTGCCAATCCATGAAAGTCTTTTCATCTTTTGGTACCTTCTTTAGTTTCTTAGTTTTCATCATAGAGGTCTTTCATCTCTTTGCTTAGGTTTATACCTAGGTATTTTATTATGTTGGTATTTTATTATTATTGTGAGTGGTATTTGCCTGATTTTTTTCTCAGCCTGTTTATTTTGGTATATAAAAAAATCTGCTGATTTTTGTACGTTGATTTGGTATCCTGCTACATTGCCAAAATTGTTTGTTAGATCTAGAAGGCTTTTTTGGTGGAATCTTTGGGGTCTTTTAAGTATAGAATCATATCATCTGAAAATAGAGATAATTTGACTTCTTCCTTATCTGTTTAAATCCCCTTTCTTTCTTTCTTTGGTCTTAATGCTTTTGCTAAAAATTCTAATATTATGTTGAATAAGGCTGGTGAGAGTGGACACCCTTATCTTACTCCTGAATTTAGAGGAAATGATTTTAGTTTTTCCTCATTTAGTATGATGTTGGCCCTAGGTTTGTCATATACAGCCTTTTTATTTTGAGATATATTCTTTGATGCTTAGTTGCTTCAGGGCTGTTGTCATGAAATGATGTTGAATTTTGTCAGTCTTTTTCTGCATCCATTAAGATTACTGTGTGATTTTTGTTTTTCTGCTTATGTGTTCTATTACATTATTTATTTGTGTATATTGAATAACCTTGCCTTACATTCCTGGAATGAATCAACTTGATCATGGTATATGACCTTTTTAATGTGCTGTTGGATTCAATTTAGAAGTGTTTTATGAAGATTTTTGTATTTATGTTCATTAAAGAGATGGATTTTAATTCTCTTTTTTTCAGTGTGTCCTTGTCCAATTTTGGAATGAATAATACCCACTTCGTAAAATGAGTTTGGTAAGTTCCTTCCCTTTCTATTTGATGGAATGTTTGAGGAGTATTGCTGTTAGTTCTCTAAAGGTCTAGTAGAATTTTTTGGCATGTCAGGCAAAGGAACTCTCTTATGTGGATATCTTTTGTTTGGGCTTTGTCTCTCCTTCACAGAGATCCCATTCTTACCTTTCTCAGACTCTGAGTAGACACCCTCTCCATTTTCCCAGGCTTTGAGACCATGTTGGAGTCCCTGTGTGATATAATTGTCAACTAGCTCAGGGATTTGCCATTCCTATGGGCCTCTGCAACTTCTCCCCAGTACCTTTAGTGTGGGCTTCTACCTTGCTTAGTCCTATCAGGTAGCTTTGTGAATTGTTATAAAAGGACGAGGAAGATGAAGAGAAAGAAGGCTCCAAATCCTTGTTGCCAAATTAATAGCTTTATTGAGATGTAATCTACATATATACAATTCATCTGTTTAAAGTGTGAAAATAAAAACAGCTGGATTTTTATAGAATTGGTGCTGAATCTACAGATCCATCAACAATATGAGGTCTTCCAGTCCACATGTATTGAATGCCATCAATGGGATTTTTAAATTTTGTCTCACAGTTTTTTATTATAAAGTCTTAAGCTTTTGTTAATTAATTCCTTAGTACTTTATTACTTTTGTTGCTCATGTGAATATAATTTTTATTAGCATATATTAAAATGTTATGTGAGGGGCTTCATTGTGATATTTCCATTCATGCAGATCATGTACTTAGATCATATTCAAACCTTTGATTGCTCTTGAGATGAGATCTTACAAACATTTTGGCCTGGGGTGACATGGTACCAGGATCCTCCTAATCAGAGCCACCTATGTAGCTAGGGTGGCTCATACATTCATGCATACCTATGTACATACATGGCATACATAAGCACAATGTACTTTGATCAGATTCTTTCTCCCTACTCTCTCTTTTTACCCTCTTACCTTCTCCTGGTTTCCCCCTCCAACTAGTCTACCATGTATGTTCATGTACTTCATTTATTTATTTATTTACATTTAGATTCTATGGGAGAGAAAAATCAGGTAATTGTCCTTCTGAGTTTGGTTTGTTTTTCTTAGCATAATGATATCTGGTTCCCACAAATGACATAATTTCAGTCTTTATGACTGGATAATACTCCACTGTGTATATATACCACATTTTCTTTATCCAGTTACCTGTTGGTGGGCACCTAGGCTGATGCCTTAACTTGGCCATTGTGAATAAGTTTGCAATGAACATGGGTGTGACAGTATCTCCATTGTATGCCTTATTTTCATTAGGTTATATGCCCAAGAGTAGTATAAAAATCATATGGTAGTTTTATTTTTAGTTTTTTGAGCAACTTCCATGTTAACTTCCAAAGTTAATTAATTCACATTCTCACCAACAGTGTATAAGAGTTCCTTTTCTCCCACGTGCTGAACAATGTTTGTTGTTTTCTTCATGGTTGCCATTCTTGACTCAAGAGAGAATCTCAATGTTGTTGCTTTTTAAAAAATTAACATATGTGGATCGTACAAAGGGTTTTCATTGAGATATTTCCATACATGCATATGATCAAATTCACCTCCTCTGTTACTTTTCTTATCTCTCCCTACAGTCCATTTTAAAACAATGGTTTTCATTATTCTGTTTTCATTCATGTGTATGAAGTACTTCAATCATACTCACCTCTTCCTACCTCCCCACTCACTGGTTCCCACTCCCAAATAATCTCCATTATTTTATAAGTTCTAGATTCCACACAAGAAAGAGAATATGTGACACTGGTCTTTTTCAATGGGACTTATTTCACTTAACATCATGATCTCTAATTCAATCCATGTACCTGCATAATTTCATTCTTCTTTATGGCTGAATAATACTCAACTGTGTGTACACACTCCACATTTTCTTTATCCTGTCATCGTTTGATGAGCACCTAGATGGATTCCATAATTTGGCTGTTTTGAATAATGATCTACACATGGGTGTATGCAGGTAACCCTTTTATATACTGGCTTATATTCCTTTGGAAATAAGCCCTAGAGTGGTATAGCAGAACTACATGTAGTTCTATTTTTAGTATTTTGAGGAACTGCATACTGATTGACATAGAGGGTACACTAATTTACATTTCCATCAACAGCATATAAGTGTCCTCTCCCCCCGTTGTCATCAGCCTTTGTTGTTGTTTGTTTTCTTGTGGATGGCCACTCAGACTGGGCTAGAATGCAATCCCAGTGTCCTCATGATTTACATTTCCTTTTTGGCTAGGGATGTTGACCAGTTCTTCATGTATTTATGGGTCATGTGTGCCTCTTTGAGAACTGTCTCTAAAACTCTTTTCCCCAATTTTTACTTGTATTGTTTGTTATTTTGATGTTTAATTTTTATGTATAATTTGGATATTAATCCTTTGTCAGATGGGTTGAAGAGATTTTCTCCCTTTCTGTTGCTGTTTACTCTGATTATTATCTTCTTTTTTTGTGGGAAATGGGGAGGGAAACAGAGTCACCAAGACCACTTTGAAGGAAGCAGGAATTTTATTATTCTAGCATACTCAGGGGAGATAAATTCTCAAAGCCCTGAGCCCAGATCAGAGTCAGGAAAGGAGTTGTATACCCCCCAGGTGGTTTATGTAACCTGGGGTTTTTGTAGTATGTGGTTCACAGGTGGTCAAAAAGACAAGTCAGTTACAGAGAAACAAGTTGGTTACACAGTTACCCCTCTAACTTCCCTACAGAATGTGGTCACTGTTATAGGAAACTTTGCAGAACCTAGCTGGAGGTCTCATGTCACTTTTGAACTTGCAGAAAGCTGCTTGTAGTCCCCAGAGCAGGGAATTCAAGGTAAATTCTGAACACACAGTAAATCCCATAAAAAAGAGCCACATTGGCTCCAACATTCCCCCCCTTTTTTTTAAATTTTTTTTTAGTTGTGAATATTATTTTTTATTTCTTTTTTAAAAACTTTTTATTGTTTTATTATCCATATGTGTTGAGCCACCCCTGCATTCCTAGGATGAAGCCTACTTGGTTGTGTTGAATAATCTTTTTGATGTGTTGTTGAATTTGCTTTGCCATTATTTTGTTGAGGATTTTTGCATCAGTGTTCATTAAGGAGATTGGCCTATAATTCTCCTTTTTGGAGGTGTCTTTGCCTGGTTTTGGGATAAGTGTAATACTGCCTTCATAAAATGTGTTAGGCAGTTTTCCTTCCCTTTCTATTTTGTGGAACAGTTTAAGGAGGGTTGGTATCAGTTCTTCTTTAAAGGTCTGATAGAATTCAGCAGAGAATCCATCAGGTCCTGGACTTTTCATTTTGTGGAGACTCTTGATTGCTGCTTCAATTTCATTTTGTGTTATAGATCTATTCAGGTGATTAATTTCCTCTTGGTTCAGTTTTGGGTGATCATATGTGTCTAGAAATCTGTCCATTTCTTTAAGATTTTTGAATTTATTTGAAAATAGGTTCTCGAAGTAGTCTCTGATGCTTTCCTGGACTTCCATGGTGTTTGTTGTTATCTGCCCTTTAGCATTCTTAGTTCTACAAACTTGGATTTTTTTCTCTCCTCATTTTAGTCAGGTTTGCCAGGGGTCTGTCGATCTTGTTTATGTTTTCAAAGAACCAACTTTTTGTTTCTTTAATTCTTTGTATGGTTTTTTTTGGTTTCTATTTCATTGATTTCAGGTCTTATTTTTATTATTTCTCTCCTGTTTGTTTTGGGATTTGCTTCTTGTTTTTGTAGGAGTTTGAGGTGTATCATTAGGTCATTGATTTGGGATCTTTCAGACTTTTTAATATATGCACTCATGGCTATAAACTTTCCTCTCAGGACTGCCTTTTCTGTGTCCCATAGGTTCCAGTAGGTTGTGTTTTCATTTTCATTGACTTCCAGGACCTTTTTAATTTCTTCTTTTATTTCATCAAGGACCCATTGTTCATTAAGGAATGAGTTATTTAGTTTGCAGCTGTTTGCAAGTTTTTGTCTTTACTTTTTTTGTTGAATTCTAGTTTTATTGCATTGTGATCAGATAGTATGCACGATATAATTTGTATTTTCTTATATTTGCTGAGGCTTTTTTGTGCCCTAAGATATAATCTATTTTGGAGAATGTTGCATGGGCTGCTGAGAAGAATGTATATTGCGTTGAAGTTGGATGAAATGTTCTGTAGACATCAAGTAAGACCATTTTATCTCTTATATATTTTAGATCTTGGATTTCGTATTATTTTTTTGTTTGGTTGACCTATCTATTAATGATCATGGGGTGTTAAAGTCTCCCACAACCACTGTTTTGGAGTGAATATATGCTTTTAGGTCTTTCAGGGTATGTTTGATGAAATTGGGGGCGTTGACATTGGGTGTATATAGGTTGATAATTATCATTTCCTTTTGGTCTATTTCCCCTTTTATTAGGATGGAATGTCCTTCTTTATCTCGTTTGATCAATGTAGGTTTGAAGTCTACTTCGTCAGAGATGAGTATTGCTACTCCTGCCTGTTTTGGAGAGCCATTGGCTTGGTAAATCTTCCAGCCTTTCATCCTAAGCCTATGCTTATTTCTGTCGGTGAGATGGGTCTACGTAAGCAACAAATTGTTGGATCTTCCTTTTTTATCCATTTCATCAAGCAATGCCTTTTGATGAATGAATTAAATCCATTAACATTAAGTGTTAGTAGTGATAGGTATGTGCTGATTCCTCTCATTTACTTGTCCTAGTTGTTTGAAGGTTTGATTGTGTGTACCTAAGTTGAGGTTACTCTCTGCTTTCTTGCTTTTTCTTTTCCTGTAGTTTGGTGCTGCCTGTCCTTTCATGGTTATGTTGGGTTTCACTTTCTGTGTGCAGTATCTCTTGAAGAATCTTTTGTAGTTGTTGCTTTGTGGTCACATATTGTTTTAGTTTCCGCTTATCATAGAAGACTTTTATTGCTCCATCTATTTTGAGTGATAGTTTTGCTGGGTAGAGTATCCTGCAGTTGAAGTTATTTTCATTCAGTGCC